ATTTCCGACTCTTGATCTATAACCCATAGATCATCTGTGATATTTCCGACTCTTGATCTATAACCCATAGATCATCTGTGATATTTCCGACTCTTGATCTATAATCCATAGATCATCTGTGATATTTCCGATTCTTAATCTATAGACACAGATCTGTACATTGTCTGCTGTACATGATCTGTAATCCATAGGTCATCTGTGATATTTCCGAATGTTGATCTATAGACACAGATTGATCCGAACATATCTGCCGCTCTTGATCTATAAGCCATAGATCATCTGTGATACCTGCGTGCTCTTGATCTATACTCCACAGATCATCTATGATACGTCCAAACCTTGATCTATAAACCACAGATCATCTAGATCGTGATCTATCCGACGTGTGAAATGTTTTGATGAGCAACGGGGCGGTGGGGGTTATGCTTTCTGCTTTCACATGTGAAATGCCAACCTAGAAAGCTCGTCTGATGCTACGAAGAAGCGCCTGTTCGGTGCTGAGAGGATGTCGGCAAGAGGAGAGAAAGGCAACAGAGGTCACCACGTTTCTCAAACGTTCATAGAAACCCCACGCCTCATATCAAGCAACAACATAAATGAGGACTCCTTCATTCAACACACACTCAAAGTCAAGAATGAGCGGCTTGCACTACGGCAATGATGGGCCTTCAAAAAAGGCACACTGCGCCGTAAGGCACAGGACAAAGCATGGTCACCTTTCCCTTGAAGGTGTGATCCAGGCACGCTTGGTTGCAGCCGATGCAGGTGTTGATCTCGTCCACACGACCCTCGGTCGCCTTCCTCACCCAGAACGGGTCCGCCAAGAAAGGTCTGCATACCATACCCCCGGACAGGCGGCGGGGATGGTGCGGGCGAGGGATGACATCGAGGGAAACGAGACGTCCATTGAGAGGCGCTAGTCGGCGTGGAGAAAGCAATGATGAGAAACATCTTGATGAGCACCACTGGGCGTTCTCCTTCATATCTCCCGCTACGTAGCGGCGAATATATTGTTCGAGAAGGTAGATCAAGGGACATGATACACGGTAGTCGACCCTTTTCTTCCGACGGTGGCAAGAGGAACAAGAGTGCACTTTTATCACAGGCATCGACAAGCTGCGAAATATATATATATATGTATCGTGTCAAGAGGGTTGATTGGAATTCCAAGGTCAACGGCAACAGCACCATCCTTCCACGGGTGCGATGCGTTGCGCCGGCTCAGGTAGCCTTGTCCTTACCTGGCCATTGAAACCATGTCTGCGTGGCCCTCAGCCAGCACCTTCTCCGCCGTGTCCGGCATGTTGATCCTGTTCGTAGTGATCAGTGGCACCGACACCTGCAGACATGCCGACCACCGACAACGGCGACGCCGCCAAAGCACATCAAAACATCACACGCATGCTCATCGTTTCGAATAGCCAGAGGTCAGTCGACGGCATGAAGGAGATAAACAAAGGCGAGACATTCGCGGACAGTGAAGTTCGTGGGGATTGTGCGCCACCGCATGAAGCTTGAGCTGGAACATGGAAAGTCCCGGCACCATGAACGAATCTATCACGTTAACGCTCGTACCTGCCCCTTCAGCTTCTTGGTTACCCACGAGAAACCCGCTCTGGGCACGCTCGTGGCGATGGTAGGTACCCTTGCCTCATGCCACCCGATGCCGGTGTTGATGATGCTCGCTCCGGCCTTCTCGATGTTCTTCGCTAGCTCAACTATCTCTTCCCTGAGGGGTTACCAATAATAACGTGTATGGCGTAGGTTGGTGTTGCTGTCGCTATGGTTGCGTTCTGATTGCGGCGTCAATGTCCCCAAAGCAGCCTTTCGGAACCAATCCAGCATGCAGTCGAGAGGATCGAAAAATTGCACAGGCTCCGAGGCTTGTGTAAGTGAGCTTCGATTGGAACACTTCTTTTCATGTCTGTTGCACTGATGTCGCGTCGATGGCAACCAACATTTTTCTAGGGGCAATTGCGATTAAAGCAATAATTTGGCTAAAAGACCGAAGACCGAAGGTCAATACGCTCTGCGCGGCCACGTACACAAATAAAAAGCGATACCAGAACACAAACTCATACGCATGCATGCATGCATGGCAGTTCAACCCGGGACGGACGCTCTCACTCACTCACCAGCTAGACCCCTTTTCGATGAGGTCGAGCATGGACAGCCGGTAGATGATGATGAAGTCGTCCCCGCAAGCCTCCCTGATCCCCTCCACCACCGACACCGGAAAGCGCATTCGGTTCTCGTAGCTTCCTCCCCACTCGTCCTCCCTGATCGGTTGTCATCAGCCACCGGAGACAGCAAGGGTTGGTGTGCATCCAAGCTATTGATAACGTACGTTAGTGGACTAAGCTGTTGAAAACGGGCATTATGTTACCATCGGAAACGTTTCGCGGTTGTCGTGCGGCAGATATGACAAAATTCGAGAGTGCTCGCACGCCACGTGTCGAACCCTCCTAAATAGCAAAGCCAGTCACTTATGACAAGGATCGATCTACTCCATGTACGTGCACAACTCCAGGCCGTATCTTGTCACCGGGTGCCACGTGCTGCTGTGGCCGTGCGTACCGCCGCTTCAAAACGGGATGGACGGCTCGCCCAAAACAAACATTAATTGTCGTCACTGGGCTTCGGCCCGTTGAAAATGACCGTAAATGCTGTGGGAGAGGTACCGCCTTGAACACGGCTGCATCGAACTCGCCTCTTGTTTGTGTGCTCCACGAGGAACTGGTTGATCAAGTATCCCTCCGATCCCATCACTTCCACGCCGTCGTACCCAGCCTCCCTCGCCAGCATTGCACATCTGCATCCATTGCGTTCACGGAGACGCATACGTTGGCGTTCATGATAAAGCGCAGTTGTCGACAGCAAACGACGACAGAATGGTCCACGCAAAAGTCTTGACATGGATGATAGCATAGGGTATCGACGTACGTGAAGAGAACATAGGGGACATTCTCACAAGATGCATCGGCGAGAAACACGAATAAAAATGACAGCCTGAACACCTACCAACAGCCTGAACAGTCCTGCCGTCGAGGTGCCCTGACGATCGGAGTTTTGGGGTCCTACCACCATTTCCCGTGCACCTCTGCCTGATCTTTGCTAGGTTCCCTCGCCAGTATCGTTCATTCCAACAATCCGGCGAATAAGCCATGCCAAGTTTGTCCGGTTTCCCGTCGACTGCCTCAAAAGGCCTTTGCCGTACCGAACCCCCGTTTTGTAAAGCCTTGAAGGCGGCTAGGTCCGAAGGCTTCTTGCGTTCCAGCATTCTGCCTCATATACTGCTCTCTGCTTCATACCCAGCCGCCTTCCACGTTTCACATCTGCTTCTACTTCTTTCTCCCTGGATCACCTAACGATATAGTTTCTTCGATCACGGACTGCCATGCGAAAAACGTCTCGCATGATAATTTATGGTGTCAAAAAACATAGCTGGTGCTCCAAGCCTTCTGCTTGCACTCACGTAATGAAATCGCGCACGGTGTGGTAGACGTCGATGTTGCTCAAGGCCTCGGGCGTGTGCTGGTTTATTGGGGCCTTTTCAGCGGAGGGGGCCACGGCCCACGGGTGGTAGGCGTAGCGCCCCGCGTGCAAAATCTGCCAGGTCAACCACCAGACACCGATGATAAAACGTCTGCAGTCGTTTATCATACCCTCGATCAGTATGATCAGAAAGTGACGCCACCGAAACAGTCGGCTGTGCTCCAACAAGACTCTTCGGTAGGGGAACAAGAGACCAGCCCTCCGCAACGAGGTTCTGCTTTCTGCATCTTGAGGACGCCAACACGCATGGGTGTGTTCAACCATCTTTGCAGTGCATCGCTAGCCCGGAAGGAACTAATGACAATAAACTGCAGAATATGGCTCTACACAAGGGTTGGTGGCTGCTAGGCTCCCCTTGGCACAAGAACGCCTGTAAGCTAAGCATGCTCCACCCACGCACGCGGATGTGCTTCCACAGCAGTGTCACTTTCACGTGCTAAACTCACTTGGATTTGAGGATACTCGAGAGCTAAGTAGCTAAAGTCTCAACCGCTTAACGAAGTTGAACAGGCCATTTATGCAGGCAAACACGGAGGGTGACTCAGCATCCATCTCAAATACAGCTGTTGTGTGCAGTGGTTCCATGATGTTGTGATCCAAGGAGCGGCCGCACCTGCATGCAGATCTTGCCGTCATTCTGGTGCACGGCCTCCGTCACCTCAGCGTGCGCCCTGACAAAAAAAGCCCGTGAAAATCACCCCAAGTGAGATATTAAGGCGGAATGGCAACGATGTCAAATGCGGAGAGTTACGTGAGTGTTGCAACGCTGCACACGGTGATGCGAGGTGTAAAGGGAGAAATGAAGGAGCAAGGCGGGTTGTCGGGTCTAGGTCGGGCAACGATGTCAAATGCCCGGGGACATGTTCGTGTCGCACGCAGTACGCGGCGATGCAGGTGACAGCGATGCAATGCGTCACGCAGGGACATTCGGAGAGAATGCTGGCCGCAAGGTGTACCGATACTTCGGATCGTGTCTGGTGAATCGGCGTGTTATATTCTAGGACAACCGCACACGCCCCATTCCAATTTCGGACTGCGGCTCGTTTCGCCGCAGGACGCTGACGATCGATATTGCGAACGACCGTAACGGTCACGGAGCACACCGCGTGTACGAATGCGACAAACCAGGGTACGTGGAACAAGGGTTGTCCCACGCGCAATCTATAGCTAACCTGACTCCACGACTGTTGGTCAGCTTGGCGGCCATGGGGTAGACTGTCCCGGCCCTGTTAGGAGCGATGCCTCCGGTGACCATCAAGCCAGCTCCGCCCGTGGCTCGCTCGGCGAAAAACGCCGCAAGCTTGGAAAGCCCACCGCCTGTCGGAGCCATGCCAAGGTATGTACGCCGTGCCAATCGTCATCAGGAAGCGGCGAGCGCGGGAGGCGGGGAGAGGTATTCTAGTGTGGCCATGCACCACGGGTAAACTTCACGTGTTCAATCATGTACAGCACGTAGCATTAAGTTGAAGAGCTGTGTCGATAACCGCCGGTGTGTAGGATTTCCGGTGTTCCCCCCTGGCATTCGCGCCTTCACTGCGAAAAAAGAATCTCCGAAAATGCTTGGGCCACATTTCTTAATAGGGGGCTTCCTCCACCGCAGGGAATGTACCACACAGCGGTTGAGGGAAACATGTCGTAGCACGACAAGAGAGTCGGGTGGATTTTCGGTATAACGAACAGAACACCGCCTGGTGGAGTGTGTCAGTCGTGCGTGAGGTCCGTGCGAACCTTGTGTTTTCCTGTGTGAATATCACACCAGTTGCCGTGCTAGAGTGGAACCCGAGAACAGGGTGTGCCAGACACAGCAGAAAATACACCCGATTTGGAAGTATGGAATTCGGTCGACGGTCGCACTCGTCATACAGCACAACGCGCAAACTTTTTGTAAGTCCAGACGCCCCTTTGCGGTCAAGGCTAGCTAGCAATGTCCATGCCAGCTGGCGCTGCTTCCCGAGCTCCTTGTACCTACACAAAGCCCGCGGAACCGTCCACTTCCTATTTCTTGATTCAAACTATCGAACCTGCAACTCAGTGGTAAATGGATGTAAATGTGCCATGTTTCTCCTGTTGTCAGCGGCACGCATGCTTTTCTCACCCAAGACGCCCCGCTCCTCTAAGCCAGTGTGCATGGATCCCATGAGCACACGGTTCTTGAGCTGTGTGTGCCCTAGGTCCAAGGGCTTGAGAAGATTGGCATATCTGAGGTGGGTTTCCGTAGGAAGCAAGAGAGAACAGTATTGGGTCATGGAGGGACGATGTATTGAGATCAACAGCTGAACGCCCTCGCAGTCTTGCTTGATCCTTTCAACAACTACAGTTGTTGTTTTGTTGTTGCCATTTCAGGACCCTCCCCTTGCAATTGAGAGTGACCGATGATGAGAGAGGGACATCATTTTTTTTTTTCTGACAAATCCATCTCCTTCACTTCGCTTCCTTTTCTTCGTGCAAAGCTTCATTTCCACGTCTCTCGCTCAACACTATCCACGGAACAGGACGATCTACACTAAGCCAGGCTGGCCACAACGATTTCGAACACATGAACATTTATAAAAAACACGTCGACAGCCATACAGGTGGAGGTTGAACGGGCATCAAATACTAACAACAACACGACAAAACATCAACCCCGGCAACAGCAAAAAACAATCAAGTTATACACCCCAACCACGGTGGGTGACGTAAGATATCACACCCCCTAGGACGATTTTCAAATCTCGAGTACTCCATAGCAGAAGAAAAAGAACGATGGTACCGAAAATGGAGGCGTTGGAAGTATCTTGTCGAGAGTTTGCTGAAAATGTATGGGTTTAATCTCTATTCCTCTTCATCGTGCAGCACCTGAGCTGCGAATCTCAGTCCAGGGAGTGTGGTATCTTGCGTCAACTATTGTACGGTACGATAGAGCGGACACACGTTTGTCGGGAGGAACAACGCTGTCACGCACGGCATATTGCGGCAACTTATAACGAGCCTTTGCCTGCTAAGGGGTTTGTGTTGTGTAGCAGACGGCCGATTCTAAGACAGCATTGCCCAGCAGCGGATTGTACACCGGAACATCGGCGGACAATCTCACGATCGCGTTTCAGATTCAAGTCCCTTTTGGGCCCTCAAGGGCATCAGGTCCCTTGTCAATTGTGGATACAACTCTCAGCAGCTGTCTGTATACACGCGCCATGTGACCAAACACGAAGTCAGTCTGGCTAGCGCACGGAGAGCAAGGCAACGCCTCGAGATCATGAGATTGAGGACACCAATTCTAGTTGAGGTTTGATTGGTGCATCGATCGGTTGAAGCGTTCATCGTTGAAGCGGCGTGAGAGAGAACGTCAATTTGTTGTGTCCGCAGCTGCAGCAAACCAAGCGCTCGCGCCCTGCTAGCTTTACCCCGGCAAGTTTATGTAGCCAGCATTCCTTGACGCCATGAACTGAAAGCGTTGTGCCTAGCCGTGTCGGCCACCACCTGCTGCTCGCATCGCTCGGGAGACGGAGTGTCTCGATCTCGAAGACGTTGCACCGAGGTTCAATCACTCCATCTTGAGGACACCGAGTTTGGACACAGATGACTCACCTCGTCATAGTGCGCACGGATCCCACACAAAGGACCAAACTATGGATCAGGTCGCAAAGAAGGTTTTGCTCCCTTGTGCAAGGGCAAGGAATCGGCGTGGACTTGATGAGAGCTGCTGAGTTGCTGAGTTGCTGTGATGTTGGTTGTGGTGTTGAAGCGCGGAAGAAATGTGAACAGGCCGCGGTTTGCGATGTTGCTGTTGCCCAACTAATACCAGTAATTACCGGGAAAATGCAGCTGTTGCCGGTAATAATGTACGGCGTACTACTCAAGAAAACACCCCCCTTAGACCGATTTTCAAAGCTCGATTTCTCAACAGCAGAAAGAGCCACAGCGCCAAAAACGATGGCAAGTAAGCAATTGTCGAGAGCTTTCCGAAAACACATCGTTTCGTTCATGCATCCTCTTCATAGTGGCGCACTCGACCTTTGTATATCGGTGCAGGGGATGTGCTATCTTGTGTCGTACACGGCATTTAGTTCGTCTGAACGACAATTTCCGCGAACAAAGGACGCCTGATGAATCTGGGTCCAGAGAATCACGGCGAGTAATCGATTGCTTTCCTCTCCGTTGCCCTTCATCTCCGTTGTCCTTCATCTCCGTCTTCTCTGGTAACTGCGCCACAGCATTATCCTTGAGAGTTCGCCGGGGTTGGGAAGACGAATACTACACCGCACGTGACACAAGATAACACACACCCTTGACCGATTGTCAAAGCTCGATTTCTCAACGGCAGAAAGAGTCACAGCGTCGAGAACGGCGGCGTTGGAACCGTCTTGTTGAGAGCTTTTCGAAAATGTGTCGTTTCGTTCATGCACCCTCTTCGTCGTGGAGTAGTCGAGCTTTGAAAATCGGTCCACAGGGGTATGTTATCTTGTGTCATCTAAGGTATGTATCTCGTGCAAGAAAGCTGCCCGTACAGCAGTCGACGCCGCTTTAAGGACGCACATGGTTTTTCCCGAAAAAAGCGTCCTTAAAGCGGGGTGGCGTCCGTAAAATTCAGGGGACGGTAGCTCACCATCCCCCGGACCAATGGAGGCATGCTATACCTCAAACTACGCATCTTTTGCTTGCTAAGGAAGGGGGTGGTACGAAATGTCAGCATCGCCGAGACGACTGGCAACCGTTTGTTGACGTCGAACATATTTGCAATACTTGAAATGAGATTTACATGCAGCAGTCGGTGACGTGTTGAAAACAACTACAGCACACCAGTTTGTACTTGGCCAATTAATGTCCTGCATAGATAGCCGGCAGCGGAAGGAGGAGGAAAGTCCACGTAGTAGAAATATATTCTCTAGACTATACATTATCATATTCTTTGAAACAAAAAAAAACGAGCGTATTCCTCCAGCGTCGCACCGACGAACACCAGTACACATCACTCTCCCGGGGGAGACCCTTCCACATATATATACATTGCGAAGAGTTCCCTGAACCTCCCCTCGCGGCTTGGCTCCACGGCTGGCTCTGTTGAGTTTCATGAGTAAACGGATGGACGGTCTTCGAAAGAAGGTACTGCGTCTCACGGTACTCGCCATTCCTTCCCTTCGCGTACAAATATGCTCTCCGCTATTAGACTATACGGGTTTGATGGCACTCTCCACCACCTCTCTCGAGGGCTTGATGTGGATAGTCCTCATAGATCACAAAACAGAAAAAAGCAAATACCAAGTAACTTGTTGCAGTCTTGAGGAATAAGAGAATCGGGAGGATGCGACAGTCCAAAGGAAGAAGAAACTCCACGAACGAAAATGGACGACTTAGGCTCGATCCAATTTTGACGTTTCTTGACTGCGGGCGCTATCTGTAGGATCGAACGTCCTCCAAGCGAGCGATAACCTCGCCCCCGGTGAGGGACAAGGTTACGCACGACTTTTTTTTTGGCGGCAGCAGATGGACCGCCGGTAGATGGGAGGAATCTATCCATATCAACACCCAGTTGCAGCTGCAGCAGCAGACCGCTCGCTACTTCTGCTGTCTGTGCGTCGGTACTGCTGTACTCAATGTGGTGCGTGGTTCGTGAAGCGAGCGGCCCGCCGGTCCGGGACACAATAAAGGGGAGTACCCGGCAGAAAACTTGGTACATCGTATGTTCGGACGGGCCCCCTGGTGCTGGCAAAACAAGTTCCCTTCGAACGCGGAGTTTCATCAACGAGCGTCCTTAAAGCGGGGTCGACTGTACAACGTATTGTAGTTGTACAACGTCCGAGAGATATCTGCAAACCCATTTCTACAATTCGTCCCATGCGTCAATCGTCCGATCGGGGCCACGGGGCCACAGAACTTTTGTACAGCAGTGCGTAAGTCATTTTGCCCAGTTATTCCTCCGATGATACGCTGGGCTGCCCACCCACCCACACCCTTAAACAGCAGTGAGTTCGCGTCCAGCTCTGGCTGACCGAACGTTCCATTCCGTTTCGCCTATTGTTCGCGCTCACTACAATACCGCATCGTGCGGGTTGAGACTTTGCCAACCACTTCCACGTGTGCTTGATTTGATGTAAACACTGGCCGCGTGAGAGGTGTTTGAAGTCAGCATCTCCTCGAAGACCCCATAAAAGCAACGCCGAAAAACAGAGTGGGGGGCTGCTTACGTCTGTAAATGAAAATGACTCGAATTCGGCAACCAACTATAGCCGTCACCACACCCACCTAAGGATCCTGAGGTGACAATCACGCCATCATGACGGCAGGTGGTCCTGTTCATCGTTCCAAACAGAAATTTTGCCTTCCGCAGAAATACGCGCCCCCCTCCACCCCCTTGGTGATGTGAGGGCCTGGTCCGGTGAGAACCCGGCGTGCTCCGTCCCGTCTTTTTAAGGATGCGAGATCAATGGTCTAACGACACGGCATGCACGTCTACCCCGGGCAAGAGGATAACACGGCATCTAAAAAAATAGTACATCTAAATGTATCTGTGGAACGTGTTGTTCATTAGCAGCGCGAGGCGCGATGAGGAATTTCCAGCTTGGCATCGTACCCATATTTCTTGCCGATGAATAAGTTGGGGTCGGGTATTCACGGGTCGTAGTCTCTACACCGTCCCCCGTGAGAAAAAAAGAAAGAAAATCCCACCCTGTCCCCTACTCGTTGCCAAACACCGCCCTTAGGAGAGCTGCCAATGGCAAATAACCCAAATACCGCGGTAAACAAGGAGATTAGAGCCGGTGACCCGAGTGCGCCGGAGCAGTTGCGGAGCCCTCTATCCTCTCCCCCAGATCTTTCGTTTCTTGGAGCGAGGGGTTGAAGTTTGGTTTCTCTTCTCCGAATGCCGTCACGCCGATTTGGACCTTCCCGCTCTCTCCCATCGTCACCAGCCCAACCTGGACAATCAGACAGAGAGAGAGGTGGAGAGAGATGCAAAAAGAGAGAGAGCGACTCCTCACAACGAAAACCGGTATGGAAAGAGAAAAAAGGCCGAGGGCAGAAAGCGGACGGAATCATTCCTAACGTTAGCAACACTACAAATTCAGTCCGTTCAGTCCGTCCCCTTTTACATGTACGGGTCTTCCCTGTCTAGACAGGGACATCATCAGCACATCTACCGGCCTGCGTGCACCATCCTCATGCGAGCCGGCAGCAAACGGAAACATGAGAATAGGTTCGACTCGCTCGCAATGAAGGTCCGACAACCTCGGGGCTTTCTGGTCTTGTCACAACAACGCCTCAAGAAGCACCTGCACCACCACTCTCAAAGATTCAAACGACATCATGTGAAGGTGAAGATGAAGCAAGTTAGCCATACGAACGCACTTGGCATACGGGCGTATTTCAAAAACGACAGAATCAAACACAGCGGTCCGCAGTGAAGCGAAAAAATAGGTAAAGGCTTGGACAAACGGAACATAATACCATGGAGATTGAAACAGGAGATACAGAGAACCAGCGGGCTGGATTCTGCCTCTTGCAGGGACAGCCAAACGTCGCAAAGATGGACACCGCCCAGACGAGAGACCCATTTTCCTGGAATTATGCTGCTGTGAAGTCAAACTGGAAAAATGCTGCGGCAGCTTAGACCAAGCAATGTAACGACCCTGGCGCACCTCGCACTGAAGGTCGCGTAGAGCACCGTACGCCTCGTCCACGCAGCCCCTGAGCTTCCCAGCCTCCCTCAACACCGGCTCACACCCTTCGTCCAGCATGGGGGTGCGCAGCGACGGCCCTCTGGCGGCAATGTTTCGGATGCACAGACAAGCCTGACATCGGGATTGGGTGACGCGCGGGAAAGTCGGTGCAGTGGATCAAGGGGTCATGAACACGCATGCTGTAGTCTAATTACCATTGACTCCGCATCCCCCACGATGCCGGGAGTTTTTTTTTGGGCGGGGAGGGGCTCATCGTGACGTGCTCATGCTCAGTTGCCGGTAGTTGTTGGTGTTGGATGCTCTTTGAGGCGTTTCGTGCACAAGGGGCGATCGGTGTGGTTTCGACCTCCGTCGCGCAATACTGCGGGGGGACACGGGCACAGAATCGAATCAGATTACCCAACACCAATATCGTGCTTGCACGGTGGTAACCCATAGCGCCTGGTCCCTTGAGGTGCATGTACGTACCCGCTCCCAGTACCGACCGTCACCAGACGTACAAACTTGGAGCATGACTTATATGATGCGGCAGAGAGCTTTGTGGGCTCCTTTCGAACATGGTAGACAACAAGACGGTGGTCAGGAACAATGTCCGTTGAGATCGAAGAAATAGGTCCTGGGTGTGCGACATATGGTACTTCTTGCTTCACTGCATCAGTCTTGGCTTGACAAGAGACATACGGCTGACCAACCTGTCTCTGCAGCGGCTGCACGGTCGGATATCTTCGCATGGCCTGTACCACCGCGGTAATCCCTCCCTCTCGTACGATCTGCGCTCCGTTGGGAGGAGACCGAAGAGACATTGCTGCCATGGTGGCGCACCCGTGTTCCTGAATATCACCCGAAGTCGTGGCAGACGCAATGGATGACAAGGCTGTCGCTGTCGCATACGCATGGACCCAAGCAATGATTGACTGCAGACAGAAGTCAGAAGCGTAAATGCCCTGACATGATTTGCCATTATCGATGCCATGCCAGCACCCAGTTCACGACGGTCTGAACCCTGGCTCGTGTCAGCGAAAAAGAACAATGTAACGTTCTTCCAAGGTGTCGATCCTTGAGGCGAAAAAACGAATTTCCCACCAACTTAACAGGCATATAGCGCCGAAACAAACAGCGTTTGTCCGGGCGGTGTCATCCGGACCCTCCCTAAGAGGACTTGAGCCCCACCCCTCCCCCCCGTCCAACTTTCAGCCAGTGGAGTTCTCCTTCTCGACAAGCTTACTTTGAAGAAACGTGCATGTCATGACGTCACCATCGACAAGCCCCCCCCCCCCCCCCCC